TTTCATTTCTGGCCTACTGTAAATATTAGCATTTAAAAATAAAACTACTATATCACTTTTTAAAGTGCAGTCAACAGAATCAAATCAACATGATGATTTGATGCCCACCATTATTTGTTATTTTTAAAATTTGTTATCAATTGATTGATTGACTGACTGACTGACTGCGATGGGGTCTTGCTCTGGCTCTGTCACCCAGGCTGGAGTGCAGTAGCGCAATCTTGGTTTACTGCAACCTCCACCTCCTGGGTTTAAGTGATTCTCTGGCCTCAGCCTCCCGAGTAAATGGGATAACAAGTATGTGCCACCACACCTAGCTAATTTTTATATTTTTAGTAGGGATGGGGTTTCACCATGTTGGCCTGGCTGGTGCGAACTCCTGACCTCAGGTGAGCCTCCTGCCTCGGCCTGCCAAAGTGCTGGGATTACAGGTGTGAGCCACTGCACCCAGCCTATTTTCTATGTTTTTAAAAATAAAATAAACCATTCTCTAATAGTCGTAAATTTGTATTTTTCCTTTTCTGTGAACTTACATTTGAATTTCATTTTATCTAAAAATTTTATCCTAATGTAACATTCTTATGCTTGAAATTCTTTTATCATACTTCCCTGAAACAAAAAGATGTATATAAATTGAAATTTTAAAAGCATTAAAACATTGCTCTAGAGCTGATGGTGGTGGCTGATGTCTGTAATCCCAGCAACTCAGGAGGTTGAGGCGGGATACTAGAGACCAAGAGTTTGAGATCAGCCTGGGTTAACAACACAAGACTGAGACTCCAAAAAATTTTTTTAAATTAGCTGGGCATGGTGGTGCATACCTATAGTCCTAGCTATGCAGGAGGCTGAAGCAAGAGGATTGCTTCAACCCAGAAGTCAAAGGCAATAATTAGCTATGATCACACCATTGCACTCCAGCCTGGGTGACAAAGCAAAACCCAATCTCGGAAAAAAAAAAAAAAAAAAACCCCAAAACAAAAAACAAAACACTGCTCAAAGTTATTTCATCTGATGGAGTTAACAATACAATTACTGTATGCAATTAACCAAAGCAATGCAAATAACAATTTGTACAAATATATTACATCATTAAAAATTTTATTGAAATGTATCTCTTACTAGACAGCTGGGACTCATTTTTTAAAAATTACTTCTTGTGTCCACAGATATTAGCTAGAGATATGTAGCTAGAGCAAGACAGAGCTGAGAACAATTATATTCCTAGTTTTCATAATTATAAATATTGAAAAACATTTGTTGAGTATGTATGAACAGAAGGATTTTTACTGTAATAACTTATTAACATTTTTAATTCCTTCGGAGTCTTATACCAAAAACTATGTTATGGTCTACCATCAAAAATTATTTTTAAAAAGTTGAAAAAAACATTTTTTTAAATTATGTGAGAACTCACTTAAGTCCTCCTTCAACTTGGTAGAAGGTAAAGATTGAAACCTATCTGAACTATAATAATCTGCAGTCATTCATTTTCTCAATTTCTAGGCAATTTATGAAAAAGGCTTTTTTACCATAACATATCAAATGATAGATGCCTTTTTTATCCTGATACATTCAGAAATGGTTAGGAAATTTTTGAAAAAATTGTTCACTACCTGGGTTAAATAACTTTCTTTTTTCTTTTTGATACAGTCTTGCTCTATCATCCAGAGTGGAGTGCAGTGGCATGATCACAGCTCACTGTAACCTCAACCTCCTGAGATCAAGCCATCCTCCTGCCTCCAACTCACGAGTAGCTAAGACACTACAGGCACACACCAGCACACTCAGCTAATTTTGAAATTTTTTTGCAGAGTTGGGATCTCGCTATGTTGCCTAAGATGGTCTTGGTCTCTCACAATCCTACCATCTCAGCCTTCCAAAGGGTTGGGACTACAGGTATAAGCCATTGCGCCTGGATTGCCCCCCCTCCTTTTTTTTTTTGAGACAAGGTTTCACTCCATCACCCAGGGTGGAGTGAAGTGGTACACCTGTGGCTCAATGCAGCCTCAACCTCCTGGGCTCAAGCCATCCTCCTACTTCACCCTCCCGAGTAGCTAGGACTACAGGCCCATACTACCATACCTGGCTAAATTTTTATTTTTGTACAGATGGGGTGGGGTCTCGTCATGTTCCCCAGGCTGGTCTCAAACACCTGGTGTCAGTTTATATCTTAATAAAGTTTTTGTTTACATACATGTATGCATTGTCGGAATTCATCCTATGGTATCTTTAAGATTAGTGTATTTCAGTATAAGTAAATTTTACCAGCCAGGCATGGTAACTCATACATGTAATCCCAGTACTTTAGGGAGGCTGAGGCAGGTGGATTGCTTGAGCCCAGGAGTTTGAAACCAGCCTGGGCAACATGACAAAACCCTATCTCTACAAAAAAATACAAATGTTAGCTGGATGTGAGGCATGCGCCTGTATTCCCAGCTACTTGGGAGGCTGTGGCAGGAGGATCGATTCAGACCAGGAGGTCAAGGTTGCAGTGAGCCAAGATCACGCCACTGCACTCCAGCCTGGGTGACAGAGTAAGAACCTGTTTCAAATAAATGTTTTTAAAAATTTTCTTTTTAACCTTAAAAAAAATTTCTAAACAAATAGTAAAGTCTAATATATATGCTTGATGAACTATTTGGAGAGAAGTATATTAAATATGTGCAGCTTACTTTGAAGTGCATTTTAACAAAAGACTATTAATAGATGGAAGGATGGATAAACACATGATAATGCAACTATAGCCAAATGTTGAATCTAGAATTTAATCACAGATGCTTCAAAGAATTCTACTCAAGCTCTAAGACCTAGAAGTAGGAAGAGTTCAAAAAGATATAAGTAAAAACTTTTACTTAACCATCTGTACATAACTTACGCCCTGAAATTCTTCACATAGCAGTCAAGTAAATTCTTCATTCAAAACAGCTATGTGATGGTTCATTACTTACCATAGGAAGGACAAACAGGAAAGATTTGTTGTAAAAATAAAGGCTGAAAAATAAAGAGTTATCCCTGGGTAGGAGAGCAAAACTAATATGAAGTATATGTATGGATGTCCAGGATAATTTGCGTAGACTCTCAAAAGTAAAAAGGACTTTCTAAAGATACATTTATGTTCACCATAAAAACATTAAGAAGACCGGGTGCAATGGCTCATGCCTGTAATCCCAGCACTTGGGAGGCCGAGGTGGGCGGATCACCTGAGGTCAGGAGTTCGAGACCAGTCCGGTCAACATGGTGAAACCCCGCCTCTACTAAAAATACAAAAAAATTAGCTGGGCATGGTGGTACATGCCTGTAGTCCCAGTTACTTGGGAGGACAAGGCAGGACAATTCTTGAACCCTGGAGATGGAGGTTGCAGTGAGCCGAGATTGCGCCACTGCACTCCAGCCTGGGTGACATAGTGACTCTGTCTCAAAAAAAAAAAAAAAAAAAAAGAATATATTCATCAACATTACATAAAGTGTGACCAGGCCCTATATTTTATTAATATTTACCCACCATAAAACCTTTACTAACGGGAAAGAAAGAGTTCTCTAGGAACCTAACCCTCATTTCTTTTTTTGGATATGGAGTCTTGCTATGTTGCCAAGGATGGCCTTGAACTTCTGGACTCAAGCAATATCCCCATCCCCCGCTCCTGCCTTCCAAATAGCTGGAACTACAAGTGCATACCATTACATCTGGCTTAACCCTCATTTCTTTGATCCCATCCAACAGAACCAAAGCAAACCTTTATATTCCCTTGAATTTCAGCTCTCCAAAGGTTCAACTTTTTCTATCAGTTTTGGTGTGAATCACTGACTTGGATTCACTCTTTGCACTAAGTCACCTAATTTAATAGAATGTGGTTTCTCTACAGTATTGGTATAAACTTTAAAAAGTTTATTTTTAAACTTAAAATCCAGATGGGCATTCTGGTAATAAAACGAGAGTCAGACTCAGAGATGATCCAGATGTTAAAACCATCATATAAGGACTTTATGATTAATACATTAATTGAGCTAGTAGGAAAGACAAACAACAGATAATGAACATAAAAGGAATTTCAGCAGAGAGATAGGAATTCTAAGAGTCAAATGCTAACTTGACAGATAAGTAGGTAGTAAAAAAAAACGACCCAAATGAAAATCCTAGAAATTAAACACACACACACATACACACACATACTGGATATGAAGAAGTCTTTAATACGCCTATTTGTAGACTCCAAACAACTGAGAAAATAATCAATAAATTTTAAAATATGTCAATCAAAATTATCTTAATTGAAATACAAAAAAAAAAAAAAACTAGGCAGAAAAACAGAATTGAGCATCCAATAGCTGTGGAACTCTATTAAATAGTCTAATATCTTTGAAACTGAAGTCTAAAAATGAGAAGAGAATATCAAAGGTTTAAAAAATATTTGAAGAATGTGTGTTTTGTGGATTTGGAGTGTAAAGTTCTATAAATGTCTATTAGGTTTGCTTGGTCCAGGTCTGAGTTCAAGTCCTGGATATCCTTGTTAATTTTCTGTCTCATTGATCTGTCTAATATTAACAGTGGAGTGTTAAAGTCTCCCACTATTATTGTGTGGGAGTCCATGTCTCGTGTAGGTTGTTAAGAACTTGCTTTATGTATCTGGGTGCTCCTGTATTGGGTGTGTATATATTTAGGATCGTTAAAGCCATCCTGGGCCACATACAGCCTGTGGGCCACGGGTTGGATGAGCCAGGCTTAGTTTATGTGACTTGTCTAACAAACTCAGATCAGTTCAAGGTCAATTCCCTCCTTACTTTCTTTGCTGTGACAAAGAACTTAATGACTAGTCTCCTAGCATATGTTTGATAAAATGGGATAGGTGTATAAAAGGGGTGACTCTTCCTTTACTTGTAAGCAACTGCATCTCTGTTAAAAAGTACTTTTCATTTTTGCTCTTCCCTGGCAGAATCCTGTAATAAAATTTATACCTAAAAAAAATAAATATTTGAAGAAAAATGGCCAACTTTTCTGAAAGTGAAAGACATCAAATCATAGATCCAAGAAGACTTCAAATCAGAATATATATTTTAAAAAGAAATGAGCAACAACAACAAAACACAGTACACATTTAGACACGTAATAGTCAAACCAGACAAATCCAAATTTATAGATAAAAACTTGGCGCCCGCAGCTGGGCTGGGCCAGAACAGCCCACGATGGCCAACTTCAATGATTGTGTGTCAGATGAGAAGGTACCCATAGCTGTTAAGTTCGTCACTCATGCACCCCAGGGGAATTTAATGAACTATTTAATGATGTTTGGCTACTACTTAATAATGACAATCTCCTCAGGGAAGGGGCAGCACATGCATTTTCCCAGTATAACATGGATCGGTTCATGTCTGTGAAGATAGAAGGATATGAAGATCAGGTTTTAATTACAGGGCATGGTGACCTAGGTAACAGCAGATTTTTAGATCCAAGAAACAAAATTTCCTTTAAATTTGATCACCTAGGAAAGAAGCAAGTGACCCCCACCCAGAAGAAGCTGATGGAGGTCTTAAGTCTTGGAGAGAATCTTGTGACTGTGCTTTACCAGCCTATGTGAAAGACCATTATTCCAGCGGCTTCTGTACTGTTTATGCGAAAACTATCCATGGGCAACAGACTATTATTGCATGTATTGAAAGCCACCAGTTACAGCCTAAAAACTTCTGGAATGGTAGTTGGAGATCAGAGCAGAAGTTCACCATCACACTACCTACAGCCCAGGTGGTTGGAGTGCTTAAGACTCAGGTTCACTATTATGAAGATGGCAATGTTCAGTTGGCTAGTCATAAAGATGTACAGGATTGACTAACTGTTTTGAATGAAGCCCAAACTGCCAAGGAGTTTATTAATATCACAGAGAATGCAGAAAATGAGTATCAGACAGCAATTAGTAAAAACTATCAAACAATGCCAGATACCACATTTAAGGCATTGCGCAGGCAGCTTCCATTTACCCACACCAAAATCAACTGGAACAAGATAGTCAGCTACAAGATTGGCAAAGAAATGCAGAATGCTTAAAGGCCAAATGTAGAATTCTTCAGCATGTGGAAAGACAAAGATTCAATGTGTGGTTATATGATAAATAAGTGATTTATAAACAAGAGTGATATTTTGCTAGGGCTTTCAAAGTTAGCTGGTTTTCTAGCCTCATGGAATACTGTTGAACCTACAGCGTTGTCTTGATTCTTTTGTGTTTTCTGCCTTGTAATTTTCTGTTATTGCTATACCTACGTGTAAACCTTTTTTTGTTTGTTTGTTTGGTTAATTCTGCCACATTTAATGTTGGAGAGAGAAAGATCTGTCCTAGAGACATTTTACTGTTTAAAAAAGTTTCCTAGCCATGAAGCCCTGCTACTGATTTAGACAAGGTATATTATGGTTATTACTTTCCACCCCATCCTTCCAAGCTCTTCTGATACTTCGGTGGTTTTTACTGAACCACCAGCACCTAAAGAGGCTATGCTACAACCTATAGCTAAATGGAAGACACATTCATCCTTCTCCCTCTGACTGCTTTGATCATCATCATTTATTGCATCTCATAACTGTAATTTTCCTAAGTTTGGATTGGGACTTTTCAGGTCCTTTTTAGAGGGCACAGGAAGTGCCAGCTTCTCTGGGAAACTTGTTTTTAAATCCAAAGTCTTGAACCACATTCCCTGCACATGAAAATGTTTGCTTTTACCCCGTCTCTCATTGTCTCCTTCCCGTTTTAGTATCATTGTAGATATAGACATCTGCATTTTTAGAAGGGTTTCACCCATTTATTTTTTTTAAACATTCAAGAACTGCTGACATACTGTGGATGTAGAGTATAAAACTTAAAAAATGCAGATGTTGAAAGAACAATAGGTATCTTGTGCTTTAATACTTTATGGCAGGAATATACTATAAGCAAATGAATTCAACAGCTATGTAAATCATAAACAAAAACTAAAAATAAACCAAAGTGAAAAGGATAACTTCCAGGCGGTAACTTTCTATTGTAACGTGTTATTTAAGGAAATATTAGTGATTTCTTCTATATCGGATGTAAAACTTCTTTCAAATTACTCTTCCTCTGTCCTGCCTGCCAAGAACTCAAGTGTAACTGTGATAAAATAACCTTTCCCATGTATATTGGCAGGTATGGGTGTAACCTCAGAATACACAGGTGACACAGATATGATATGACAACTGGTATTGGTGGATTCATTTACATTGTTTACACTTCGATGACCAGGCCTTAATGGAAGGTCAGTTTTAAAAAAGAAACAGTAATGTCTTCCTACCTATCTCTGTGCTTCGGTTTTGTTTTTGCTCAGTAATATAGTCAAGCAACAGTTTGTTTCCAAGTGACCCATTGAGCTGTGTATGCATTTTTGTTTATTTTAAATAAAATATATTTGTATTATTTGTCATTCATACTATTCATCCATACCATACTATCTTCTGTATCAGGTAGTCTAACAGAAATATACCAGTTTTGTTCTTAAAAAAAGATAAAATCTTGAAAACAGGAAAAGACATTATATACAAAGAAAAAAATATTAAAACTTAGATTATACTTCTTGCCAAACAATGCAAACCAGAAGGCAATGAATGACATCTTTAAAGTACTAAAAGAAAAACTATCAATTCTTTATCCAATGAAAATATCTTCTCAAAATAATGGCAAGATACAAATTTTTCAAACAAGCAAAAGCTGAGAGAATCTATTGTCACTAGTCTTTCATTAAAAGAAACATTTAAAAAAGTTCTTCAGAGTTTAAATAGACACCAGTCTGAGATTTGGACCTAACCAAAGCAAGGAATTATGTAGAAATGGTTAAAATGAAAGCAAAGAATGGACTTCTTATTTTCAGTTGCTTCACAAGGTAATTTTGTCTAAAGCTAAAACAGTGAAATGGATTATGGAATTTATAACATGTAAAAGTAAATTGTTTAACAACAACAGCATACAGAACAGGAGGGAGAAACTGGAAACACTCTATTGTAAGGTTCTTACTCTACATCGAGTAATATAAATTGAAAAATAGACTATGATAACTTAAAATGTACATTTGGTTTTAGAGCAACCACTAAAAAAAAAAAAACCTCTTTGTAATTACAACAAGCCAACTGTGGAGATATAATATAATCATGAAAAATTTCAAATAACAAAAAAAGGCGAGAAAAACAGTTAAGAACATAAAGATGAGAGAGAAAAAACTAGTAAGTTGAAAGATTTAAATCCAGTCGTATCAACAATTAAATATAAAGTGTTTAAAATATTTTTATATTGACTATGTATCCAATCATTTTGCTAAATTTATGCATTAATTCTAATAGTTCAATAGTAAATTTCTTAATTGTTTATGTATATTATAAAGTAATATGTGAATTAGGACTTTTTTTAACTTTCTTTTTAACCTCTATACATTTATTCTTCTTTTTCTTTTTTTTTTTCTGAGACGAGAGTCTCCTTCTGTGACCCAGGCTGGAGTGCAGTGGCAAAATCTCAGCTCACTGCAACCTCCGCTTTCCATGTTCAAGTGATTCTCCTGAGCTCAGCCTCCAGAGTAGCTGGGATTACAGGTTCACGCTACCACAGCCGGCTAATTTTCGTATTTTTAGTAAAGACGGAGTTTCACCATGTTAGCCAGGATGGTCTCGAACTCCTGACCTCAAGTGATCCACTCGCCTCAGCCTCCCAAAGGATTACAGGTGTGAGCCACTCCTTTTTCTTGCCTTACTGCACTAACTCAGACCTGCGGTAGAATTAAACAAGTATTGAAAGTGGGTATCCTTGTTCAACACTGCACCATTATATAAAGTTTGATATATTTTCTCCCTTTTCAAATTATGAAAGTGACCTTCTACTTTTCGTGGGTTCAAATATTTCAACCAAAATGGAGGTTGGATATTATCAGGATTCTTCTGCATGTATTAAGACTGTCATCAAATTCTCTTTTTTCCATTACTGTGAATTAGATGGATAGATTTGTGAATGTTAAGCTACTTTGTTAAAGATGAGCTTGCTGTTAAATGAGTTAAGAAAAAAATTTAAAAGGCCAGGTGCAGTGGCTCATGCCTGTAATCCCAGCACTTTGGGAGGCCAAGGTAGGTGGATCTCTTGAGGCCAGCCTGGCCAACATGGTGACACTCCATCTCTACTAAAAATATTATGGTGGCATAGCTACTGGGGAAGCTGAGGCAGGAGAATTGTTTGAACCTGGGAGGCAGAGGCTGCAGTGAGCCAATATTGCGCCACTGCACTCTAGCCCAGGCAACAGTGAGACTCTGTCTTAAAAAAAAAAAAAATTTTTTTTAAAGAAAAATTTTGAAAAAAGCTACCTGTATTTCTGACATAAATTGTAAAAAGTCATGTAAAAAATGATATTAAGAGTCTAAAAGCAGCCATAAAAAACGATGAGTTTGTGTCCTTTGTAGGAACATGGATGAACCTGGGAACCATCATTCTCAGCAAACTGACACAAGAACAGAAAATCAAACAACGCATGTTCTCACTCATAGGCGGGTGTTGAACAATGAGAACACATGGACACAGGAAGGGGAGTATTACACACTGGGGTCTGTCGGGGGGAGATAGGGGAGGGACAGCAGGGGTAGGGAGTCGGGGAGAGATGGCATGGGGCGAAATGCCAGATATAGGTGATGAAGAGGAAGGCAGTAAATCACACTGCCATGTGTGTACCTATGCAACAATCTTGCATGTTCTTCACATGTACCCCAAAACCTAAAATGCAATAAAAAAAAAATGCTTCTAAAAAAAAAAAAAAGAGCCCAAGATTACAAAAGTCACATGAAAGGTCAGGAAGTAAAAGATAACAGCATTGCTAAATTCTAATTGAGAATAAAGTAAACCAAGCAGAATCATATTTTTATTAGTTTAATGCTTAGTTGCATGTCTAATAAATATTGAAGAAAACTGAGGATTACTTTAGAAAATAAATATAATGGAAGAAATCTGTCCTGTAATAAGAGACAACTACAATATCAAGTAAATTCAGAAAACACTAGTCATGCTTGATTTTCCAAAAACAAACCTAGTAACATTAGATTCAAAGCTGGAGGAGGGAGTGAAAACTGTCTGAAATTGTAATGAGAATAATCATGGGAAACCCCTAGGCTTCTAGGCCTGGAGGTATAAGAGCTGAAGGAAAAAAAGAGCCATCACTTAGTAGGTTCGCAGGAGAAGCAGTGTCCTCAGGGAGAGCCAGGTATCCATTAGAGCAAGAAGATAAAAGGAACATTCAATGAAAAGGTTGTGAATCTAGGGAATTATTATTTTGATTATGAACTCCAGAGAAGGCACAATGGAAGGATATCAAGAGAGGCATGGGTGGAAAAGGGGTCAGAAGATAGCAGCAGCCTTAAGGAGATTAGATGTGGGAGATGAAAGGTGATCTAAGAGTCTGGGTGGTTTGAGGGTATCCAATATCAACAAAGATAAATAATGGGAGGAGTCTCAGCAGACTCAAGGCAGATGGCAGTCAGACTGTGAGTGCCTGTGGGTAGGGAAGGGTGAGTGCTTCAGCTTTCCTTTTGGCTTCTATCAATAGGAACAAGGAGATCTCCAGCAAATTCTCTTTTTAGTCATTTTCATAATTGGCTTTTCTATGGCATTTGAAATTACGGCCCAGTATCCTTCTTGAAATAATCTATCCTTCACATTTTGTTTAGTTTCTACTATTACCTCCCTTATTTATTTTCTCCCACTGGCTCCTTTTCTTCCACTAACACTTAATATACTCTATGGTTCAGTCCTGCTTTTCTTTTCACTTTACATACAATCTAATGCCCCCTGGCTGATTTCATCTATAACCATAGCTTTAGTCACCGCCTACATTCAGTTTCACAATGGACTGCCTCATCTAGATAATTTGTGGGTACTTCAATGACAAAAATATCTAAAAACTAAACATCTCTCTGCCCAAGCCTATAGTACTGTTATATTCTAGTATGAAATGGGTATGGGATATTTTTTACTCTCAGAATCTGGCTGAAGTGAGGCCCCAAAGCTGAACAAAAAATGAGAAACTCCCCCACATTCTAAAAAGGACATCCGTGCCAGACTTATTAAAAGATAGTATCCCTATCTTCTACCTCCTGTCTATTAAAAAAAGAAAAGAAGACCAGAAATAGAAGAG